AGAAAACGACATGTTTCGACAGGTTTTTGTTGATGGTTTCATTACTCACAAACATGTAATATGTTATACATAGGTTATAAGTTAACATGTCCAATGTATAAAGCTAAATGTCTTTTTTACAGCTTTTAAATGTATTGCATTTTTATTTTAATATATAAAACTGCGGAGTTTATAATAGTTACTGACCTATATCACCGATTATATACCAACTGATAACCTAGAATATATTTAAAGGTTTTACCTTTGTAACTAAATTATTACATAATATGTATTTGTTTTTATATTTTACTTCATTCTAATAACCGTAACCGAAACTAACGGATAATCCGAAATAATTACATAACCGTATCCGAAATATTTTTATTCCTATATCCATATCCGTATCCAGATCCGAAATATCATATCCATAACATCTCTAGTTGGAACCTACAACCTGAGAGAGGAGAGTCGCACGCTGAAGCCAGTGCTACTAATTTGGCAACTTTGCATACTTAGTAAATTTTTTCGCTTGTTAGGATCCTACCTAATAATGATTACATTTGTTTTATGTATCGAATAAACATACCCTTGCGCAGATTCATGCGACTTCTTCGATACGCAAAGATTTGTGTGTCGCGAAATCGCGAGTTAGTCGATCCAGGAAGTTACATAGTTACACAGCTACGCCTGATTCACACATTTTTATGTCATTTCCACATTTGTATATCTTATGTCTTACATTTTTCAAAATTGTTTGATTGTCTCCGTTTTAATGTGTGAGTGATGTTTAAGAGCCTAAATAAAATATCAATATTTTTTTATATGTATATCAATGTATATGTGATAAATATGATAGAAAGATTTTTTGCTCTATTGTTAAGTACGTAATGCTTGTTTTAAAACCAATATTTATCAGTCTTCGTAAACTTCGAATAGATCGTGTAATACACAAATATAATGAATAAAAACTATGAGTTAAATTGAAAGTAATAATATATCTATTAATTAGCGCTATGTCAAATGTTAATCTTTTTCCACCTATAAAAAGCTTATTGCACATTGTAATACAAAGAAAAACAGATAGGTGTGGTCCATTAGTTAAGTAAACGATCGTTCCACGACGAAATAACGTAATACACTGTGCAAAATAATAAAACAACATCGAAAGACGATGTAGCAAATACTTTAAGCAGCAGCGACATAGCCGACCAGACAGGCAGTTGTCGGCCATATTTTAAACGTAGTGTAAAGTTACTATGTTTATTAGCACGGTAATGATAATTTTTCCATACAAAAAAATAGGCCATGGTAACAGATACCATAGTAACTGTGGCGGAATAACCAGCAGGCTAAGTAGTCTGGAGCTTAGGGCGGGAATATGAGTATACTACTTATAGAAAAACTTCTTGAGCTTTTCTTAGCTTAGAAAAAACAATGCCTTAGTTCACGATTAATACGTAACGGAATATGTTGTAAAAAATAAACAAAAGAAAACTTATACAAAAATCTTATTAATTTGATTGTAAACAAAGCTATTAAATTGCAAAGATTAATAGGGCCGGTAAAAATGGAATAACCAACTGGAGGCAAATGTATACATCCACCGATGTAACTAACTTTAGTACCTACACATTTTATAGTGAGGTCATTATAGCACATGTTGTGTCTATCATTCATCGTGATAACATTAATTGAAGCGCGTACAAAAAAAAACGTCAAAATAAAGCTTTGTATGTTGTGAAATTGCATTGTATTAAAATGGAGATTGCATTGTATTAAAATGGAGAATTGCATTGGCAGAATTACAATGAAAATTCTGAACGACAATGAGTCTGCTGTTTACTACCCAAGATAATACGATCGAGTTTTATAGCACTAGACAGCTATTTTTACTCGACTTTTAATTATAGGGCTCTCATAGCATACATGGCATAAACGAGATTGTATTTTATTAAAGTAACAGACAAATGTAATTAAATGTCTTATGTTAAATATGTTCGACGTCCTGGTGGACAGAAAAACTGTGTCTAGTTTGTGTTTCCACCACACCAACTTATTGTTTTGTGGGTTGTTCCCCCCCCCCCCAAAACACGGGGGGGGGGCGGGTTTCCCCCCGGGGGAAAAAAAAAATTTGGGGGTTTTTTTTTTTTTTTTTTTTTTTTTTTTTTTTTTTTTTTTTTTTTTTTTTTTTTTTTTTTTTTTTTTTTTTTTTTTTTTCCCCCCCCCCCCCCCCCCCCCCCCCCCCCCCCCCCCCCCCCCCCCGGGGCGTCTTTTTAAAAAAAAAAAAAAAAAAAATTCTATTTAAGATCATGTATACAATTAATAAATTAAAAAAAAATTTAAAACTTTAAGCACAAGGCATTCCCACCACCACGTGAAACCTATTCATATTCAAAACTATCGCTGCTTTAGAAGTTATTTGTTTCAATTAGTTGTCGTAGCTTTGGTCTCGTGTTCGACAAGAGTTCAGTAGGGCAAATCAAATTGCGAGGACGCACCCAAAATGACGCGCCCTGAGGATACATTACTCCTTTCCCGCAATGCGACATTAGTGCTATTTTGATATGATATAGTATTTCATAAATGCACTAGAGATAAATAGGAATTAATATAATCCTCACATATCACTTGAATATCTATTCACTGGGTGTTAATGGGTATGAGGGCGCTAAACGTATCTTACGTATTTAGCAATTTTAAACCTTATAAAATCACAATTTTATTAAAAATATAACTTTCGTCTAGATATATGTGCGTCTAATAAAAAGATTTCACAGAGTACAGCAAAAGGCTGTACTAGTTATTAGATTTCCTTTTGATACAATGTGCAATTTTTTCTGCTAATTTATATAGGTACTTAGTCACCGATACTATAGCCGTTACCTAAATTCCTTGTAGCGCGATAAAATGTTCCGATTACGTAAACTTTATTTCGGGAGTCGAAGTTGCACAATTTCTGTAGAAAACATTCGGATTATTGGCGTCGCGTCAATCATTTATAAACACGCTCAAAATATCTCTGTCCACTTAAGTAATCAATTTAACTCCCTCACATTGTCCCAATTCTCATGTTATAAATTCCTTAATAAATTAATTTATTTTAAATTTGCTACTTAGTTATTTATCACAAGTTTTGGTTACACACTCGGTTTTAACTCATTAATGCTGCAATCACTCATGAGGTGATTCATCAAACACATTCTTTATATATTAAACAAAAAAAAAGATTTTAATAAAATGTACCTATTTTTAGGAATGTAGGAAATCATATTACACTACAAAATATTTATAAATCTTAGCAACATGCTATCTAGCTACCTAATTAAATGCCGAAATGATGCTCATCCAAATGTTAGTTGTTTTTTACCAATGAGAAGAACTGGCTATTAGGGTAGCCTAGAAGTAAGGGTGATTTTGCTTACTTCCAGAACTGTAATTCTTTGTGATGTCATATAAATTAATAAATTCATTATAAATATTATTCCATAATATTTCGAATATTTAAAAGTAAGTGAGTACTTACTAAGGAGGAGTGCCCCAGGCAACAGAAGACGCACCAGTAGCAAGGAAAGATAGTATTTATGCATGGTTGCCCCTGAAACAATAAAAATTCAACTTTTATTGATTAAAAGTTTAAAAGTTTTGACTACATAAACTTAATGTAAATGGTTTCTATGCTTTATTCCAATCAAAATTTATTCAAAAATTAAAATGTTTGCCAAATAGATAAAGACAGTCCAGTTATAACATAACATAGCAACAATACTGTATTGTACAAGTAACTGATTAACATGCAATTAAGCATAAAAATAAACAGGCTATGTATTGGGGCAATTTTCTTATAGGAAAGCAAGTTAATAAAAAACATGTTTTGTAATAAACGAAAATAAATTTAAAGACACAAAATATGTTATAGAACTTATTTGAACTAGACCAAAAAATTTTAAGACAATGTAGATAAATTTGGTTAATAAACCACGTTAAAAAAAATATTTAATTGTGCCATACCTTCCACAAACTAAACAGAAAGCAAAATTCCACTTCTTATTCACTTAAACACTTTATACTTATAGTCATTATATATTGGTTTGTTATTAATTATTTCAAAATACTTAGTAATCATTTTAATAACATTTTTTCAAATCAAAGTTTGAAATAATTTTCAAACTGAGACACAACACTCACAAATCGCACGTCTTTTCCATAAACACAACAGTGAACAGATCAAAGAATTACAATTTACCATTCAAAATGACATAATAGATGACCATTTGACAGCTGACAGAATTCCACAGGTTACCTATAGCTTATTTGGTTTTTATAGAAAATACTAGTGCTGGTCAATTTTTTTTAAATTGCTTAAAATTACGGTTTTTCGTATTATAACTGATATATAATTTTAACTATGTATTAATTACCAAAAGAAAATTACACCTTGTAGAAAATTATTAATTAGTTATTCTTTTATAAAATCGGTAACTCTTTTTATTTGCATGTTCATTCTGCAAGTAGTGAAGTCACTTCACTAATTTTATTTTTATTGCGAATTAATGGCGTAGCCAGGTGAGTTTTCTTGTTTATTTCTTATTTCATCGAGTTCTATAGTTTTCAATTGTTTTGTCTTTACGTTCAACATCGAGTAAAATATTCCGTCTTTCAAAAAGTCAAAATTTTTCACCTTTCCTTTTATATTAAAAGAAAACCCAATTTAACGAGTAATGAACACGTATTGGATTTGTACTGAATTTATTCGCTAAAGAATATTGTCATCACTTTCACTTTTCACGCTTTTTGCCCGATATTAGTGGTTTTAGTTTGTGTAGATTGCAACAAACTGAAGTCGCCATGGATGAGTGAGTTGCTCATTTTTATGATAGCTAGGTTCCTGTTCATTGTTTCATTAGCTATGAATAAATTATGACAAGGTTACACGTTCTTTCAATAATATTGATTCAATTAATACCTATCAATATAGCATCTTGTATTTTCATAACTTTGATGATTTATTTACAAACAGCACCATGTCGACCCTAACGAAAATGACCCGCACAGTCAAAAAACTTGAAGTACCCAGACCCTTGAAATCGACGACTAGTTCTGCACACAATCGCAACTCGGTAGTAGACGTGAAAATAAATTCTGGTAAGAATCTTATTAGTGGCTTCTGCACTAAGGAAAGTATGTGTTCTAATTTGCTCTCTGTTTCAGTTGATGACTTGATTATGCTGACAGAGGGGGTGGCTTACCAAATGATGCAGGGTCAGTTTGACCGAGCTCTTCATAGTAACATTTCAACTATGTACTCTAACCTGAAATTATATGGCGCTCAACTTGAAGGTGTCTACAAAGAGTTCTTAGATAGGTTAGTAAACAATATCAATATTATTTATGTTATTGTTTTTATTGACATTTAATAATTTTTTTCCCCATAGGTACTTTGTTCTTTTTCGAAATGGATCTCAAGATGAAAGGCTTGATAAGAAGAGTCGTCTTCATTTGTTGGAATTAATTGAATTAAGAGCAAAACACTGGCAGGGGTCTGATTATATGAGTCAATACTACAGGCACCGTGGTACTCATGCTGAGGTACAAAGTTTAATATTTATGTTAGATATATAGAATTGTTTAACCTTCCCGAATTAAGAAAATATATTATATACAGTGTATCTTAGACATTTTAATGTTGAAGGGGGTGTTTATGAAAGGGGGATATTTGTTTTGATAGAAATTCAACTCATGAAGTTCATGCATCTTATTATTATATAATAAACTAAGCCATGAAGGAAATAAAAGATATTACAGAGAAAAACTTTGCACAGCCGCTGCTGGTACCAACCATGGAGGGTGCAGGTTCGGGCGGCTCGGTGTCCCCAACGCTGGCTGCGCCCACCGAGCCGCCGGCATTACTTGCCCCGGGGGAAGTGATCAAGCCTTCAGGCAAATTCCCAAAACCGACTAAGATCCCTGGCAAGAATTACTCTAAGGATGAGGTTGTAATTAGAAATGCTGATTCTGGAAAAGGTATGTTTATAACATTTATATGAAAAAGTTATCTGACCTTGTTTTTATAAAACGATTTTATAGTGTCTAGGTAGTGAAAAGTGAAACAATTAATCCATTAAAGATTACAATTACGTTTGTTAAGCTGTCTGCATGACATTGTTAATACATAGAGCAAAAGTAATGTCTCAATCTAGAGACATTTTAATACGCATGCATGATTTTTACTGTACTTCTTATTAGACGCATGTTCGTTATTGTAATGAAATTAAATGTACTGCGTATTTTTAGCTTAGACAACATTAATTTTTGCATGTTTAGTGAAAGAAGTAACTTTTTTTTATCAATGTCAATATTATTTTGATAAATAGTAGTAAAGTTGTACTTTATGTCGTAAAAAAGATCTTAATACAACAAGCATGTCGTAAGAGAGAAATTTGCATGAACATTATTTTTTTTGGATAAATAAACTTTTAATTTATTTAGAATTAATTGTAGTAAGTTTTCCGTTACGTAAGCAGTGACGTAATTTCTGAAATAGTTCAAATGCTTCTTCCAAATATTTATTTTTATTATAATTTCTGTCATTCCGGTAGGGTTATTACAAACTGATAAGTTACACAGTAATAGTCTACCCGAAATTACATCAGTATCATGGATATTCATCGCTTAACGGCAGCTTCTCTACATAGAAAAAAAAAAATAATTTAAAATACGTAACTTGACAATGTTACGAGATCCATCGATAAGAGGGTTTATATATAATAATCTTTACATCAAACAAATTTGCTTCCGCCGTCTCGACGATAAGATCTTTTTAAGTTATCCACGCAAAGTCGCACACAAAGTACGGGCCATAGCTAGTTGCGAATAAATAAACGTGACAAAACTATAATAAGGTAGTCCATTATAAATTTGAATAATTTATGAATGGTTTTAGCGAGTTAAATGGGCGTCTAATTTCTTTGTCATAACTCTACCGGGTCTTTTTGTTTACGTCACTGCGTTTAGAGTTTGAAGTATTGTTTTGGGTTTCCAGTGATGGGTATCAAGGGCAGACGGGTGCACATGATCGAGGAGCTAAGTGATACGATTATATCGTTTCAGAGAGGTATGATTGCACGGTGGAAGGTGGGATGCTTAGCATGGTGTGCTGGATAACTTCATCTATATTAAAAAAATATAAAAATGTGCAAGTGTTTTATAAACAAAAAGCTGGCAATATTGCAAACCGGCGTATTTTCATATACAACATATTATCATTATATAACATAATATAATGCAGAAATAATCTGATTTACTACAGACATATGGCCAGATATGGTCATTATAAATAATAATAAATCTCAACATCAGGCGGTGCTGGCGATTACCATGATCGTTAAAACAAGACTGATACAGAATTACTTAATTTTAGTATCAATTCATAGCGTTCAAGACATTTAAGATACTTAAGTAATAATGTAACAATCTTGCTGATAGCGATTACGGCTCTAACCTCATTGCTTCATGGATTGCCAGAAAAAAAAATGTGATAATGTTAACCCTCATAATACACATAGCTTGCTTTCAAATAACAAGACTAACAATTGACACTTTGACACGAATAGGTTTTTTATATTTTTTACTTCCATTTCAGTGAGTCCGGGAGCCAAAGAGCGTTTGGTGCAAATTACTGGCCCCAATGAGGAGAACGTGAAGTATGTATAATTAACGAATATATTGTAATAAATTGTAAATTAAGACGAATTAGGTATATTTATATTGTTGTCATAAAGTCTCAATAAGTGATTATTGCCCATTTTATAATATATTTTGTTACTTTAATAACTTGCATTTCAAAACCATTCAATGTTCAGAAACTAATTATACAACATCACACATACCATTGCTAATTGTATTTTCTACGTTAATTTTTACATGTTTGTATAATTCTTTAAATATTGTTAACGAATCGCATACAATTTGAAAGAAAATTAAGGCAGAAACACGTGTTACAAGATAAACGGACATTCATTTTGATATCTTTATAATTGATGACGGCTTTGAATAGAACACTGGCTCATGAACTAGAATGCGTGACTCATGAATGCTTATGAACCTTTATAAGGATATGGCGCGATTTTCACGGACTATTCACCGGTGAAATAACTCCAACTTATAAAGATTTCCTTTTCATAATTCAAGACTAGGTACATATGTTGTACATTTCTGGTTAAATAGACTTGTGGCTTTTAATTCGGTTAGAATTGATTACATATATCCATATAGTAATCAGGCCGATCGAACAAATATATATTCAAATATACGCAATATCTGACGATTCCTATTATATTATGCAACGTATTATAAAACAAAGTATACGTAAAAAAAATTAAACGAAAACGACTTGAAAAATATATTTAAAATAACTTTCTTTATTTTACAAAATAATATAATATAATCACAATATGTTACATTAGAAAACCGCTGTGGTTTGTATTAATGTAACCATAGCTGTCTTGTTTAGGAGCGCGACAAATGCATATAAAAGTAGTTTTTTTATTTACTGTTTATGGTGGTTGGCGTTAAGCAATCTAATATCTGATTGGGTAGACCATTTATTAGCCGCGGTAGCAAATACCTCAACTATTAAATCCTTTGTCCTGACACTCTGTAAATGATATCGTAGTTTAAACATGACAAAACTATTCATAAACTTTCATCAACGTGTGATCATAGCGATCGTCGTCCAAAGTCCGCTTATTTCAATTTTTTATCCCGCTTCAAAATTGATGTTCTCACTAGAATCATATGTGGGAGAAATCACTTATTGGATATGATATTTTTGTTTAAATTAATTATTGGCAATTATTAGTGGCCTTTGCTTATTATACCTTTGAGAGATTTTGTACTCAGTACCTGTTTTTTGATATTTCGGTAGTAGGTCTTCATCTACATCTTCATTTTCAGCCACGCCAAGCATCTAATCGGCGATACGATAAGGCGCAATGCGTCCCCTGTAAGGCTTGAAGGTGTGGAAAGCCTGCCTTTAGGAGCATCACGCGCCTCGCTCGATTCAAATGGATCTGATGAACCCGTGCCTCGCCTTAGAGAGGTAATTCACTTAGAAGAGTCGAGTCTTATAATATGATATTTCGACTCTGAATCTGTGGCTGAGTTTGTTCAATTAAGGTGTTTTTGACATTTCGCGAGTGCATACATACAAAATTATCGTTTATACTAGACATGATACCAAATATTAGCAACTATATATAGTTGAGTGGCATATTTATTTGTTATTGAGAGTTAAAAAATGATTGCTTGGAGATGTTTTTTATCTATAAATTTAATTATAAATATTTATATTATGATAATTAATAATGGATTATTAAATTTGCTTACCTCCAAGTGGTCATTCAGTACTTGAAACTTAGAACAGCCATCCTTTTTAACTTTGTGAGAGTATATTTATATATACATAAATATTGTAAGTATAAGTATATAAGTTCAGACTTACGATGTTAGTAAAAAAACTCATTATTTTTTTCGCCTTTGTATTACAGTAACTGAATTTTTAACTAAAAATAGTATAATCTAACATAAAATACTTGTGATTTTTTATGTTTAAGTCCACTCTAGTATCTTAAAATAACTCTCCTATGAATCTCGATAAACGATAAGCTTAAAGCTGTGAATAACTAATGTTCACAGTTTTATTAGCACAACACTTATAGTTCCTAAAACTAGCTCTGACTTGATCTAACAACTAAGTAAGCTAGGTCCATGCGATCGAGGCGAGCTGGGCGTTCGCGTGGTGAAAAAGCCTCTGTTGGTGGATGTTTTTTTTTAATTTCTTCGCGACGTTTCTGTGTTTATTTATTTATTTCGTAATCCTACAGCTCACAAAAATTATACTTACATAATTATACCAAGTAACATTTTCTATATCTGTGATAATGTATAATTATTTTGTAAAGACACGACACTATTTCAGAAATCTCCGCATGGCAACAGAGCATTACTTCACAGTTTCTCAACGAATGATGCTGCTTTAGGAGAGTACAAGTACACGGTGACGTTTGGCACCAACTCTATTAAGATCACTGGCGATAACTTGGATTTCGTTAAGGCAAGTTATCTTGAATATTCATCTAAATCTAGTTTTGTTGGAGAAAACATAATTAATTGGCGGTTTATGCGTGTTAGTGTTTGTAATAGAATTTTTTTTTATAAAATCAAAATTTCATAGTAACAAATAAGTAAATTGTTGTAAGTTTTTATGTACAGGTGTATAAATAGTAGATTTCACTTATTAATAAATAGGTATCTATTGAGAAAAACATTACTGCCTTTGAATGCCTATTTTGATAAATTAACTTGTTACACTAGACATCTTCGTCAATGTAAAGAAAAAACATTTACTCCCTTTATTTGAATCAGTTAAACATAAAATATTACAGACAGCAAAACTGGTGCTAGACGAGTACTTTGAAAGCGCAAGCGCGTTGGAAGCCATGGGTGCTGGTTCGGGTGATTTCTTCACTTTGTCCCAAAGGCCCAATGCAGCTTTTATCTTGCAAGATGATACAACTCTAAATGGAAATGATGATGACGAGGTTTTTGTACCAGCTCAAGATAATCAGGCTGGTAAGTTTTAAAATTGTTTTTAGATTTTGTTAATAGGTACTTGCAAAGTGAGTTAATAAAATTAAAGAGTTAGTTTAAATTAAAAAAAACAGTTTTCTCAATATAGACACTAGGATACTGCTTGGATTTGCAGCTTTTTTGAATATTCAAATCTAATTAACGGCGTCGGTTTTTACACTTAATCTAGTTAGTACATCTGTTTAAGATTGGTGTTTCTGCACATAAGATAGTTATATTTTCTCCAACGTTTTAGTTCCTAACATAGCATGTAATGACGCATTTGAACCTTGCGCAAACCTAAAAAGTTCTAGTGATTTTCGCTTTGCTGCTTAGACGGCAGGTCTTCCTTATTTTATCTTCGATAAAGGTTTTATATCAGAAGAAATACAAATAAATACTTTATAATATCGGTTACAGTATTTATTATTATGGATTTTTTTTATCTCGACTGACTGAAGCATGTAGGGTTTGAGTTGATCGCATCGCATTCCCATTACCTATAATATATATTATAATTAGTAATTCATAATGTATATTTGTATGATTATGTATTTAATAAGACTGTGTATATACATCGAACCACGAGTGGGGCAGACTTTTCCAAATTTCATATAAAACCATCGGCCATTATAACAATACCCAATCCACTGCCGCCATTACATTTAACCCAAGTTTGGCTATTCATCGACATTCCGATACAGTTATATTTAATTATTAAAACCAACAACTATTTAAATTCAATAACATAAAAGTAAATTCGATACATTCAAATTGTAAACTAATTCAGAATTCCTTAAACAAATCAAAGATATTTTGAATGAGAAAGCTGTAATTGATGAATATCAGACAATACCGTGGTGTTTGTATCGTATGGGGCTGGTGGGTACAGAGTTGTGGTTGTGCAGGCGAGGGTGACACGTTGCCGCGACGCCCACGATTCTCGCGTGCCACCTCCACTGACAAGAACCAAGGTAAGGCACACCCACACAATAGTCACTCGGTATAAATCCGGCTCGAAGGACCAATTATACTCTACGAATTCATTAAAAATTTCGATTAGTGTTAAACTTCGATTTTAGTTTTAGTATCAAAATTACACGTTAATTTATCCATAAATCGATTCAATCATTACTCCATTCTTAAAACTAATTCCAACATTGACTTTCAAATATTTTGCATTGTACATTTTGCTGTTACATATACTACACATTTATTTAAATTATGTATTTAATATTTACGATAATTTCAGAATTGTAGGATATAAGTTATTAAGTATGTAATTGCATTCATGTTGCGCATGCGCCTATGAATAACGTAACATATACTTAAGTCTTTGGTTAATAATTCTACATAATATTACTATCGTTTAGCATGATTTGATCACGCTATGTAGAATGCAGAAGTCAGTCAATAACAATAAGCTTTGTGTGCACTCAATAATTAACTTAATAATAAATATGTTCAAGTTCCTGGCAAAGTTAGTGGATAACTACAGCAAAGGTGTTTCAAATTCGTGAATTCATTTTTTTATTAATAAAAAGCTATTGATATTAATTGTTCTAATCTCTTGTCGGCACCCACCCACACACATTGTTGAAGATTGTCCAAAATGGACGAGTTTCTAAAATGTATCGAAAATATTTCCTTTAATCGAAAAAACTGCTACATACAGCCTTATTAAACGTCAAAGGATATTAAATTTTTGATGCACATACGCGTTGTAGAAAATACGATTTCGATGACGCCAAAAACTAATCGACGCGTGATAGTACACACTATACGGGTGTCCAGGTTCAGCGGGAACAAGACAGGTATACACGTACGAGACGCTGGTGCAATACGCGGACTCGCCCCTTAGCAAGCTGCCGCCGGCCGGCCTTGCTGCCTTTCCGCCGGACCTCGCGCGCAAGGTAACGCTCCCCTCGCCTCGCGCCTACCGCCCTCCACCACGGGCCCGCGTCATCCCTTTCCGAGGCTGGCCGCCCCTTCACCATCCCAACTACCTTGCGGCACTACTCTGCCGCAACTTTTATTAACTGGGCACTGAGGATATCGCGAAATGATTTGGAAATTCGACACAATAGTTTCTGGCTCACTGAACGTCTCGCTCTTAAAATTCCGATTAGGAATCTTCCTTGAAAGGTCTATGTCGATTTGACTTTATCAGGAAATATTTCTTTATTTGTTCGTCGTATTTGAGAGGCAATCTTTTATTCATAAACTAGTCTTAAGATTTATTTAACATTAAAATTAAAATTTATTCCAAAAATTAAGCCAAGTCATTTCGCGATCGTGTCATCATTTCGTCAGCTTGATTCGGGCGATCCCCTCTCCCCTCATAATACTCTTAATGTGCTAATTTCTGATTTAGTATGTTCCAGAATGTTTTGATTACATCAAAGTTTAGTAATTAAACGTTTGAGTAATGTTATTAGATATAGTCTTCTCGCTCTTAAAAGAGCTCAGATGAACTAATCTGCGTAAGAGCATTCTGGAATGTATAAATGCTTCACGCACTAATATCGCAAGAGCATGGGCCAAGGTTTATAAGGCTTAAACAAATTTCAGTGTACTCAAATATAAGACGTTGTAAGCTAATTGGATTGCTAAGCATAATTTAAATTAAGCTTGTTTCCCTAAGCCACTTTAAATATAAGTTTGATTACACTGAGGTTGATTAGCGTAAGACTAAATTTCTAGTTTAAGAGTTGATTACTAAATAAATGATCTCATTTATGTGTGTTGACGTAGCGAAAATTCGCAAAGTTGTTATAGTCTTTTATATGATGGTATTATTAGATAATTATATTCTGTGTTGATACGCAACCTTTTAAATATTTATAAGCTGTTTTACTGGGACGATGTTTAATGCCGTTTTCAATTCACGCTGCCCGGACAGAATGGATACTCGAGAGGGGTTCAGTACAGGTAGAGGGTACTAGGAGTTTCCCCGACTTTATTGAAAGCTTATATTTTGTTTACGTTGTGTTTCGCTTTTCTATAAATTAACAGTGTTGTGTTCTTGTCAATGTCTATTGTTTTGAATATAAAAATGTTTAAAAATGCACCTGTCTTTGCTTTGCGCTTCTATCCTTCATACTTATAAGAACGCACGTAACCCGATGTGGCATGCGGCACTGCTTTGTCTCTAACAGAAATACGCTTATCATAACCAAAGGGGCGGTTCATTTTAGCACATTTAACACCGACAATCTAAAATCAATTGGAACAATCTACAGAGTTGCCTGGAGTTTGACAGCGCCAGTTATTTGAAGAAGGTTCGAGCTGCGGTAGCTATCACCATGGCAGCCGTAGATGCGCCTGATTCGCCAGAACCGGAATAATCTTATCCGTCCGCTGCGCTCGCTCGCATTTATACGCACTTACAGTTGACCTATAGCCCATCTAATCCTGGTGATTAGTAAATGATTTTTGAAATGACGATTTCGCCTCTGAAGATATTTTGCAGCTTACACACCTACACGCACCACACAGTGAGCGAGCGCAATAATGCGAATCATACATTATCTATTATTATATTTATCACGAGACCCGCGTCTTTGCTTTACGCTAGGTTACCTAGTTATGTCACTTCACCTAGAAAGACACGTCCGTCTCTTTGCACGCTTCGTATATTTTAGCGGACCCTAACTCACTAAAAGTATTAGCTCACCAAAATATTTATTTATTGAAAATGTTTTTATTTAGTATAGTTTTATAATTTATTTACTAATGGATCTACTGTTGTGATAATCGCGCAGGGATGATGCGTTTTTAAATTTGTTGCGATCTCTGCTTTCTTTACATTTCAAAACATGTGCCTTAAGAACAAAAATAACTTCGTAGTAAAATTTTCTTAGTTTCGTTATTTATGGTCTGCGGAAGCGAAAAACTTCTGATATTATAGTGATTCCATTTATTTTAAGAAGAATGCTTGCATTTCTTTGTGTGTTTGTATACTCATTCAAATTGTATCTAGTGTCTAGTCCTATCGAGTGGTATTCGATTCTCACTACGTCGTAAGATTTATATTTCTAAAAAGCCTGGCCGAGGTATATTTACAATTACTATATCGTTGTTTTATTCTTATTTTATTAATGTTTATGCCCATTGAAGCCAAGTCTTGTTATAATTTGACATATATTTTTAATAGACTAAGTATCCAGGCTTTTTTCTATATTGATTAGTTTTACAAAATATTAAAGTATTTTATGACTGTTATTACCACATATATATTACCATTTATTTACACGTGACAATTTTGTAGGCAATTACAAAAGACACCATTTTAAAATACGTAAGTTTGCAATATATATAATTATTACAAATACCAAAAAAGGTATTTAAATCGCACTGAAGCAACTAAAATATTTTGATTGAAAAAACAACCTGTTTATTTAAATGTGTTGAAATTTGGTTATTTTTGTTTTATTAACTGTCATTGTAAAATTTCTAGATATACTAAAGTTTATAATACATTTGAGTTTTATTTAACCTTAGCGGAACCTAAATTACCTCAAGTCTAAAAATAAAACAATCAAACCTAAAATTAATGTTTATTGGATAATGTCATAATTAAAAATAATTTACAAAACCTGACCTTAATAATGCGATAAATAAAATGCCTATATACAAATCAAACGCTGTACAACTTAAAAAAATATTTTCTAGTTAACTATGGCACAAATCTAGTCTTATTCACAAACATACGTCTTCAAAGAATAAAAATGTGAAGTTGAGGTTTACGGGAGAGTAATAATAAAATACTATGTTAGAATGTACATCCTCACGTCCGAATCCTGCCTATGTGAGGATGTATATTCATACAAAATCATATTATGTTTCCAAATAAGACCGAAAAATTAAATTGTGACATATTTAACGAAGCTACCATGATTTACATTAGTTTTCCAATATTATCATTTAATTACTTATAATATTAAATGCATATATTTCCTTGGATACATTTGAGACCGTAAGGTTTCAAACTTTTATAAGAGTGACTGAAAGATTTTCATAAACGAAATTGAAACGATTTAATAATCGTCAAGCTTGTGTATATATTATAGGTTTAAAATGCGCAGTAATATACACAAGTCAATCCAATTTAAGAGCTAACTAAACATGTTTTATAGTAGGTGCATATTTAAATGATGTTTTAGCATTTGGACGTATAAGACACTAGGTCTTGTGTTAAAAATTAATGAAATCATATTATTCATAAACGTTACTATAATCCTAAAATAGTTGTTACTTGTTTGGCAAATGCGATGAGTAGAAATAGAGAGATAAGGACAAAATATTTAATAGATTTGAGGCATAGTTACGTTCAGGAATAAAGTCATGATTATAGGCGCCTGCGCCGAAGTCTAATTTTTAAAAGACCTTTACATACGAAAGTCCAAATACATAAGCATCAATGAAATAGAGCATTTTAGTTGTCTTCGTTAGAGTAACTCTTGACACTATTTTGACAATTATTTCTGCGACACTTAAATCCTCTCAGACAACTTATCAGTTATATTAACCGCCCTGGTTCTAGCGTGTTGCATTATGTCTGCCGCTAGGTCTTCGACATTAGTGTATCTAGACTTTTGGAAACTGAATAGATCTGAAATAAACCCTACTATCTCTGACTGAAATGATTCGCAAACGTCCCTCAACCGCTCCCTAGGGCCGAGAAAACCCCAAACTAAGACCGGTAAAAGATGTTCCGATATGGAATAAAAGTGGGCCATGAAACCGTCGGGGTATTGTAAGTATCGGCGCTTAGCCTTTATGACGGACCATACAGCTGTTGTGAGTGCCTGGAAAAAATTTCTTTATAAGTCAAATTAATTATTAGTCCAACATTATAATAAATTGCTTTATAAAACAACAGTGTTTATAGAGTATTTAGGAGTGCTTCAAACAATTTTATGAGTTGAGAAATTTTTTGGTATTTTTTACTGAGGGTACTTACTCTATGTGTTGTACCCTCTTTCCACAATTTCTGATATTATATCGTATTCTGTCCGTATACTTAAAACACTAAATAGAGCGTTATTATTAAAAGGTAAGCAATCGGACTGTGCCTTATGGTATCCACATTTGACAAATAAAAGTACTTCAAAATACTGTGGTCTACCAGAACTTACCGTTTCTTTGAAACCATCTGAAAGCCACCGATTTCGTACGACTGCTAGAACAGAGGCTGGCGGCGAAGCCAGGTCTTCAAATGCATCGAGGAGAATAAAGTCCAGCACCACGTCGTAGAATGTTAACACCTGGAATATTATTTTAAGCTTAAGCGCGCTGAGACCGCGGATCACTTGGTCCAGGTACAATCCATTTATAGTCTTGATTCGAACAATAATAGTGACATTGATGAAGACTTGTTGATATATGAACCTTTTATTTCTAATAATATTGGTGAAATTTGGAATAAAAGCTTGTATAATTGAAAAGTTAAAACGATTATTGTATAATGTTTTAAGGTAACTGTACAAAATGACATATTACAATACAGAAAAATAATAATTAAATTTTTATCTTACCTTAACACCTTTACTGGTAAGTTCACTCTCAATAATTGGCCAGTTAGCAGCATCCGTGGTCCACGTCACCATCTCTTCGTATGCAATTAGGAACTCTTTTGGTTCCTAAAAATATTGCAAAATATCAGTAACCTATATTATAGTACTTACTTAGCTCACAGATTCATTTCTGAGACATACGACAAACTAAGATTCAAAGTCATACGAAACCGACTATGACTTTAAATCTTACCAAAAAGGTTTGAGGTGCTGAAGAAGATTTAAAAAATATAGAACGAAAAGATAGAGAGATAATTATGTTAGTCATCTCAACATGAATGACCTGTTGTAATGTAGCGTCTTCTGATTTAAGCTGTAGGTTTGGATCTTGTAGCTAAAGCCTATTTTGTCAAAATTTTAGTTTAGATATCTGATAACATACTGATAATTAAAATATTCTCCTGCAATTATATACCAATATTATTAAGATTGACTCAGGATTTGAATTCGAGACCATATGCTCTGCAGTCGAATGCCCTTACTACTTCCGCAAGGAAATGTGTCAGTAATCGTACCTTGTCAGCAAAAAGCAGGAGATCCGTCAGCACCTGTCTCCCAGCGTCGACGAACCAAGCCCAAGACGCTGCTTCACGAAATACAGACCGGAGGGCCACACGAAGACAATGCAATTTGCAAAGGAACTCTGAATCCGTATTGCATTGGAGAACTTCTGTACGGAGCGTCCTGCCATAAATCAATTTATTAAAACGGCTATAAACGCGAATTTACTTCATAACTCGACGATTCAAGTGCTTTTTGCAATCGTGGTCAGCGATCAAAATTTTAAAACGGTAGCATACAGACATCATAAATGATATTTTCTTTCCTTTCAAAACAAAAATAGAAAAATCTAAATATTTACGACAAAAAGTGACTTTATTTCAGCTACGTGACATTAAACAGACTTACTTAGTTTAACGGGTATAATGTAGATGTATTACACAATATAACAACTCAGCATCATCATTTAATATACAAACTTCAATTTTATTTCTTAATATTTGTAGCATTAATCGGATATTAACGTTAATCATCTAGTTTAAGTACGGACAACCGTTAGTTTGACGGTTAATAATGCGATTCTCAACCCAGAGTTCGATCGTTCGAACCAATTAATATTTAACTAAATAATTAACAAATGATGCTCCGAACTCGGAGTAAAGAAAAGTATTGTCAGAAAGCCGACACATGAACCCTAAGTTAGACTAATTTATTATCAAAGAAAAATTATAAATAAATCACACTAAATCTGAGATTTGTAGTAAAAGTCGTCCACTATTGCCAATTTAGTAGAACTATACTAAAAAATTATCGCACCTGTATGGAATGCCTGTTTCTAGCTGTTTAAGAGCCATTTGATAAAGTTCTAAGCTCTCGATTTCTGGTAGTGAGTCCGCTAAATCGTCGAAGTCTCTGAGGTCAGCCACCTGAAATTTATTAAGTTTATCGAACATCAAGTGATTTTTTGGCCCTAAAACGCTTATGTTATGGACTGCAATGTATTTAGTCAACAAATAGTAATCTTAACACTCACAGACTTGATGTCGTAACTATGGATATACGTACGAAGGCTCATAACTGAAATCTTCATTGGATTTGCAGAGTAACCCTGCAGGTCTTGCTCACACTCAAACTCACCTGATCCTCTGCTGACGCAAACGACTCAGCGCTAGAGTGATGTTCTTTTCTAGTATGATCTGAGACTGTATGGGTGTGAGATAATAACCTCGCTCGGCCTGAACCTTCGCCACCCCCGCTCTCGGAACGGAATAACACAGACCGTTGGTCGAGGAATAGAAGTTCGCAACGCTCCTAAAAATACCAAACACTTTCTTAAAAATTAAAAAAAAAAGTATCTATTACAATTACTGTCATATGAAGCACATAGCTCTCTAGCTCTGTCCATGAATTTCTAAACTAGACTAAAATCAATTCTTTTATTTAACAGTACGAAAGATTTTTATACTTATGTAATAATGAAAATATTACATCGAAATTAACAACAACGATATATTTTTTTCTATTCAGTTGTTGTTTGTTATGTTTATTCGTATTAAGTACGCACGACTGGACTATTTTTCTGATGAAAATGATTTTTGGAATCAATCCAGTTTTTAAGTTAATTCGTTACATTAGGTATTTAATCGTATTATTACATAAAAATAATAGTATATCATAATAATAATAAAATATTGATTATAAGGACCCAACGAACATTTAGACTTACTAAAGGTTGGTCGCACAACAGCCCCAGATGCCTATAACTTGTATAGCTCCCCTTTTTATATACACTCGGCGTCAAAAAAATCGCACCTTTCTTAAAATTCGTGTCAAGCGATTATAACTTCTACGATTCTTCCTGTACCCAATCATTATTAGTATCATTTAAAAGCTCAAAAGCTTTAAAAAAATAATCATTTGTTTACGGAAAATCAAACCACAAATCGCCAGCACTTTGATTAAAAAGTGGCGATGTACGCATTTGGAGGCTCACTAATTGTACCACCCTGGACGCGTATAAAACGAGGGGGTAAAAGTCAATTATGGGTTATTCGCTATCCAGACGGCACAGAGGTCACACCTGAAGAGCTTCGACAGTAAAAAACCCAGTGAAAATGGATACCATGGCAGAAGAAGCAGCTCAAGTGGTGGCCCTACCTCAAACTGGACTACGGCAGGTTGAAGTTGCTCGGCAACTGAAAATCTGCCGATTTCGAGTGCAACGGGTATACCAACAGTTCCAAGAGACTGGAGGTTACATCTGGAGGACTGGAGGAGACATGGATCCGGGAGACGTCGCTGCACTACCGTCAGAGATGTTCGCTACATTGTGTCGACGTCTTTGCGGAACCGCTTCTTCAACGCTGTGGAGCTGCAGCAGTGGCTTCGAGCTACTCAAAGGACAGCAGACAGCGTCTCCACTATCAGAAGAAGGCTGTGAGAGAAGAATTTGCTGCCCCGGAGAGCTGCTACAGGTCCCCAATTGACTGCCATCCACCGGACGAACAGGAAGCGATTTTACGAAACGCACGTGCCGTGGACATTCGACCAGTGGAGGAATGTCCTGTTCTCCGACGAAACCCGAGTGTGCCTGGACACCATAGACATGGGTAAGAGAGTCTACAGGCGACCGGGGGAGCGTTTCACACCAGCCTGCACCGTGCAAACCGTCCGGTATGGAGGAGGATCCTGCATGTTCTAGGGCGGCATTTCTATCGACGGCAAAACAGACCTCGTGTGCGTCTCCAGAGCTGGAAATGGTCACGGCCAGGGGTCTCTGACTGCCCACCGGTATATCACCGAGATTTTGGAGGAGCATGTGGTCCCATGTGCAGGTTTTGTCGGCGCCAACTTCGAGTTCATGCACGACTACGCCCGGTGCCACACAGCCTTGATTGTCAAGGACTACCTACGTCGAGTTGGCATCAAGGTTATGGACTGGCCAGCAAGAAGCCCCGACCTCAATCCTATCGAGGCACCTCTGGGACGAGCTGAAACGGCGAGTTTGGGCCCGTAATCCAGCTCCTGCAACTCTCGATGAGTTTCGAGATGCCGTCATCGAGGAGTTGGACAATATTCCCCAGGAACACGTCGTGACGCTCATCAGGTCCATGACTGACCGCTTGGAAGCTGGTCGGAGGGCTAGAGGAGGCAACACTAGGTTTTAAGACTAATTTTTAATTATTGTTATTGTTTATTTTGAATTTTTGTATTTTTCATTTTTTTGTAATTTTGATCAGAATACAGATTGTTTCACATTTTCCCAGAATTTTCTCTTTTTATGGGGGTGGTTACCAATTTCCTACCGTTTTCAAACAAGGGATTTCATTAGCTTTCAAATGATACTAATAATGATAGGGTACAGGAAGGATCTTCGGAGTTATAATCGCTTGACACGAATTTTAGAAAAGGTGCGATTTTTTTGAAGCCGAGTGTATTATATTGGTATGTTTTTCTGTTTATGTCTATAAATAGTACCTGCAGTAAATATGCGTTTTGCAGCAAATCTTGTATCTCCCTACAAAATTCAGCTTCTTCTGGCGAGGTGAGGGCCAAAGTGCCGGCACCTCCACCACGCGCGTTCACTGAAAACGCTGCCAGTGCATCTTCCCAATAGTTAATACTTGTTTCTAGGGCTTCCATACCTGAAAAAAAAGCAGTAGAGTTCAGTGAATTTAATGATTAAAAATTAATCTTTTTTATTGTGTTATGGTAATAGTACAACATTTGCTAGCTAAGCTAAGGTAGAATCCTAATCTATTAGGTCCTGAAAGTATTTTTTTAGGTAAAAGTTTAAACTTTTCTATAGATTTATTTATATCTTGATTCGTAGTGTTCAGACCGTATAGTGCTACGACCGTACTATATTTTAAACGAAAAATTATTTTAAGAAAATATTTAATTTAAAAAAATAAAATAAACGTAAGTAATAATGATATATGTACTTATTCTCAGGTCAGAACCTGCTGAGAATACCGTCTGTTTTAAAGCGTAATTGAAGAAGTAACGTTAGTCAGATGTACATAACAATATATTTAAGTGTAGTTACGATATTTTATAATCAAGAAGTATCTATTGTCATTTCTAATAAGAGTTTGTGTTTCATCAAACGTCTAGAAAATGTACATGTATAGATATATGTTTCAGTCTTGTTATTTCATTATCCTAAAAATATAAGAGAAATTGTAATTATACTCTCGAATGAAAGATAATACGCCATCTTGTAGAAAAGCGCAAAATATAGTATTGGCAAAGGTGATCTTAAATAGTCGTAAAAATAAAACTCCTTCAACGCGAATTTTCATTATCCACTGAAAGCATTTATTCATTCAAACCTTTTCTCATAAAGGATATAAATAAAATAACATAACAAAGCTTATATTTTATTTCTTAGACATTATTTTAAATATTTACACTACTTTAATCTAAAACCCTAATTTATTACTATAGAAATGTTGACTTTCTCTTTTCCATCTATTATAGTAGTGGTGCCACAACCCTTTCGCCTTGGTTTTCTATTTATTTCTGTTTCTTCATTTTTTTCTTTCTTAATAAGCAAGTATCAACCCTCTAAGACTGACACAAACCCTCGATTTGTGGTTCTAGAGCATTCTCACAATATTCTATATGGACATAGAAGGAAAAGTCCATTAGTGCACAGATGTGAATCGAATACACAACCTCAACCAAGTAGACCAACACGTCTCATCATGATCCATCTTTTGCGAGATGTAAGGCTCAACTTTTAAATTTTTTGCAATAGCTTTATTTTAATAGTTGTCCTTCACTGGAAGCTTATTTGACATTTCACTAGTTCGCAAAAAGAAATTCCAAGAGAAGCAGACTGTGACAGACCTACAGCCACCAAGGTGGTGTAGATGAAACCTGGTATTATTTTCAGCAGAGTTGCATTCTACTATAGAATAATAACTTCTTTCATTGTGGTATCTTCTTTATTGCATGCTTGCACTCCTCTATATCTTGCAATACAAATTGTATACCACTCGTAAGTTCTTGTATTTTGTCTGTTATGACAGTGAGGCTATTTGCAATTTTTGTATCATGCAATATTCTCCTTTGTTCCTGACTACGGAGAGTACTTGCTATTGACTGTAGGGCATCGGCCATTCTCTCTTGTGAAGTTACTCTCCGTTCTTCTAAATCTAAGGCCCATTGAGGCGGTGGAGTCACATGTGATTTCTCATTTTGTTGATGCAAATTTATGTCTTTAACTGAAAGTACAATATAATTAATGTATCAGTATAAATATATCAAAAACTTATGAACAGATACAAAGCTACATTAATTTTGAGATTTAAGTCACAAGGGCACATATTTTGTATGGATAGGATTTTCACTACATTTTTAATAATCTGAAATATTAGAGACAGAAATCACTGTCACCAAGTTAAATAAATTTTTTATGTCCAATCTGGAACACCAGATTGAACACCCATCTTCATGGACTTTCTCTGTGGCAACAGCCACGTCCTGCATCTATGATCTAGGAAATACTAGATACATTCTGTAAACCTCCTTGTAAGAGGAGTAGTAATAGACTTATAAAGAGTTAAGAAAGGAAGGTTTATTCTAGATATCATTAAACTGTTTTTGACTTCAATAATTATTTAATTATTACCTTCTGCCTCTGTTTGTTTATAACAATTGGAACTGTTTCTTATTTTCTCGGTATTATAATCTTCAGCAAAAACCAATTCAACTTCAGAATATTCAGTTTTAATATCCATACTATAGTCTTCTTTCAAATTATCGGTTTCACTTGATGCTGATGAAGATTTTGGGCTTACTTTCACTCCAATGTTTCCAACTATTTGCAAGAGTCTTATTTCAATATCATTTAATGTCATTTTTCTTTCACTGTTGAGTGCATTATTAGCCTTTTTACGACATTTACTTGTCCATTCCGTAAAATACTGAAATAAAAATATGCAGTTGTTTTTGTTAAATAATGGGGGCTGCTTTGGATGTTTTAGTTTACAATGCACAATGTATATATACTAGTTAAGAGGAGCATTGATAAAAAAATTAAAACTATTATATTAACAGTTCCATTAACCTTCTTGCCAAAAGAGAAAAATTAAGTATAAAATCAAGAATGTGTGTATACCCCAGGGCCACTGGGGTAACATAGCCAACAAAAATATTTCTCTTAAGACTTGCATTATTAATCAATGATAAATTACCCTTCTCCACTGCTCTGGAGTCCGTACAGCACCGCCTTTTACAGCATTTAATATCTTGCTTACTGCTAACCATTTTTCTTGTGCAATCATATTGTTTGCAATTGTTTGGGTTCTAGATTTACCTACTAAATGTTTATGTGATTCGAAGTATTTAACCATGATATCAAGTTGTTTCATGGATACTTTGCGTTGAGGTGCCATCTGAAAGATGTTTTTTGGGTTCAATACAAGTTCTAAAAACTATCATGCTTAAATGCGTTAGTTTACTTGAAACATGCTTAATTCATGATCATTTCTTAAGTTTTTTGTTACTTTATTATATTATTATAACTTACCTTTTTAAATTTAATACCACAGTTTAAAAACTAAAATATCAATTTCAAAACAAATAAAATCAATGCTTTGTGAAATATCCCCTCTGGTAATTGCTACAAAGTAATCTATATCTTATCGATTATATCTCATAATAATATAGAACAATAAATAATGTAAATTAAAATTTAATTCTTCTTTATCTATTTAATTTTGTGTTTTTCGATTTATGAACATAAAATAAACACACGTCATAACTCATACACTCTTGAATCTGCTGAATCTATTTTGTTTTAATTTTATATATGTGACAGATTTGGGTTTTTACATGTGTTGAAAATTGACACTTCTTAATGTCACAGAGGTAAGCGGACAATGGACACACTGCACACTACATAGAACACTGCGTACCTATGTAAAATTATTAGAATTCTTAGATAGAGCCATCTATAGCCTGCGTAACTTGAGAAAAATCAAATATGTTGCATGTGCCATCTTTTATCAGATAGCTAAAGTATTTATTATTACTTAATGTGCTTTGGTAAACCAAAAGGAGAAGGAACGAATGGTTAGGTAATTTACTATGGTAAATAAGGGGGACGTCTCGAATCTCTTGAATTGGTTTTAAAGTTTAATAGCATTGGCCTGAAATTGCCTGTCTAATATATTCAATAGTACATTATGTCTTTAAACTAAATTGTTTTGCGGTTAACCGAAATAATTTATTGTAAAGGTGCGGCGTAAGTCGGTGTCGGCTTACGGTTACCGTAATTAATTATTTTACCCGGAATTTTTGTAATATTTAATTTTATCGTTGGAATCGCCACTGCTTCGTTAATAATTTTATTTTAATCAAACTGTTCCTACACACTGTTATAAAATATAGTCGGTGAATAAACATATTATAATTTAGACATGATTGTTATATATAAGGAAATGATTGCATTTAATTTAATTAAAATATACTTCTATTCATATAAGCTTAATAATAACTTTATATGTGCCTTTTTTATATACATGGGTAATAAACCCGGCGTTGTTTTGTTACGTAAATATGGCAGCGTTTTCGGTGAAGGCCTATTGTGCGACATATTCAATATAAATGAAGGTATCTGACCAAACGCGAAACTTCAAAACTGTGTGTTCGGTTTTTTAATTCTCTTTCTTTTAGGTTTGTTATAATGCGACACTGTGTTATGTCTACTCTAGATTTTTTATTTTGTATTATATTAGTTTTGTTCTCTGTGGAACTAGCTTGTTCAACGTGTGTGTTACGTTTCCTTGTAATATTTCATAGATTTTTAAAGAATCTCGAATTTTATAAATAGACTCGCGTAGTGTGGAGGATACAAGTGGTCGAACCTTGACTGTACACTTAATTTATATTTCTATGTGTGTATGTCAGGAACATAAGGCTAAACAATGAATGACCCTGAAATAAGTCTCCTAAAGTGATTCTGCATGAGATTGTAAAATTTACAAAATAAAAAAAAGAGAAAGTTCATTATATATACCTGTCTGCACAAAATAACGCCTTACAGAAAGATACTACTGATTCGTATAGGAGTAGTAGTAATTATAAATATAACTAGCTAAAAATCCGGCTTCGCCCGGATAGATATGAGATACGTGGTAGAGTCAAATAAATAAACTATGACGTAAAAAGTAAAAAAAGTTTATTGAAAACGTTATCTCATTATTTACAATACTTGTTTATAAACAACATTTTTCATTTTATTGTCCGGAGTATATATACATAAATTTTTCGGATTTCCTACTCTTACTACATATACTGACGTGAGAGAAGCAGGATTCTTTGAGGTTAATGCCACAATATTTTAAAGTTTGTCCTTGCGCTTTGTTAATTGTAAAATAAAGGCTAATTTTATTGGAAATGCAGTCTTTTAAATTGAAATGGCAATTCCGAAGAGATCAGAGGTATTCTAGGTATAAATACTGTCTGTCCTTTGGTCTTTCAGAAATAAGTTCAGCTTCAATGATATTATTCGATAGCTGTTTTACGATCATTCTAGTTCCATTACATAATTTTGGGGAGTTGAGATTTCTGAGTAGTATGATTGGAGTTCAATTTTCAGACGAAGGCAGTGTAATGGCATTCCTGTACTTGTAAAGAGTTTAGAAATTCATGGGGAAGTTGAACTTTCTTCAATATACCATCTGTCGATCGATTTATATATTTTCTCTTCACCAGGTATTTTCTTTAGAATATTAAAATTGATATCGTCAACAATATTATTTTTAGTGGCCAAAATTGCTCTTTGAAATAACCACTTTTTTAATGTTTTGAGAATAATTTGGATAACTAAAATTATGTCCTTTAACTCAAAATATAAGTTAGCTAATACGTATAAATACACAAAATTTAATAACTTTATTATAGCAACAAATTAAATTTAAAACTATTGAAATTGGAATTTTAAATTTCTTCACTATAAATTAAATTCTCGCAAGCTTTTGGAATGCAACCAAAAATGTTGTCTTGAACGAAGTTCAAATATTCATAACAGATGGCGTCACTATAATTTCCAAGTTGAAGGGTCGGAAATTCCCTTATATATCTTTAAAAACATGCCCTTTAGATTAAAACGGAACTTTCTTGTTCGAGGGGGATAAAGGGCTATCACACCACATAAGTCCTTTTATCGTGTCGGGACTCCTTTTAAGTTTTATCGGCACGCACATTTTATCGACTTAGTTTTAGTAATTATAAATATAATATAGTTGAGAACCCTAGCGAGTGGCAATAAGGTTTGCGCTCGACCAGACTACACTCTATGCTCTATACCTCACGCGCGGGGATTTCTCCGTCAGTCGGCGACAGGCACTGCATTGCGCTGGTATTGCTCATCTCTATACAATTTTACGATTTCTAATTGTCATCCAGTAAATATTGTGGATCTAGTGTTTCGTTGTGTTGTGCGTTTGGATTTCGATACGTGTTTTCTTCTTAACGCGTTATATTAACGCCGGTTTTTGTAAAACAGGTAAGATCAGAAAATTTAAAAAAATCTAAATGTATTTCATTGGCTTTATTAAAAGTATAGTTATTTTATAAACACGTAATAAATTATAATGATCGTAACGGTAAGCACATATTTTGAAATCAATTAATAATCTGTTGAAAACGTTGATGGATGCAGCTATATGATGAAAAACCCTGACGCATAAAATAAGACTTAATAAAATGCTTGAAGTACCAATACTGGGCATATTAGCAATATAGCTCTTGGTAAACCATACATATATGTACGAAGAATAAAATATATGTACGTACTATACAGAGGTTACAAGAGTAACTTTTAAAAACATCTCGCGAGGACCTCCTAACACGTTTTCTTTAAACCGGTTCAGCATAGAGGTTTAGATGCCAGACTTATGTAATGGACTGATCCTATATGACATAAATCTTCTCTCATCCGGGAAGCAGTTGCAATTTTCTTGTAGCTTAATGAAACGTTATGATGTATATAGGTATTTCTAAGTATAATTGTTGTAAAGCCAGCTGAAGCTGTTTAAGTGAATGATAATTAATTCTAAGAAGCATATTTTGTGCGCAATATTTATAGGTCAGCTGTTATTTTAAAAACATTTTTGTATTTTAGTATTCATATTAAAAGTCTACAAAAAAAACAAAAAACAAAGTACCTATTAAAAATTATTTTTTATTTGTCATACTATTGCTATCAGATAGTTACTCACAAAATAACAGGGTCTATGTTCACCCGGAAGAAATTTTCCTATAAGTTGTATAACGTCTTGTATCAATACCTTTAATTCTTATACCTGCTTTTAAAGAAAAACCTTTTTTGGATTGCGCGGTATTCGGTAAAATAGAATAAAAAATATATTTCGAATAAAGAACAATTTACAATGACGTTTCGTGTAGAGATCCCCACATACATCTGTCAACAAAGATTCGGGAATTCGCATTGTCAGCGACAGCTGCATTTCGCTCCACGTGCTACCTTGCATTGAAAATTTTATTTATATTTTAACGAACTATAAGTACATGCTAGCGATTTTATTAATATAGAATTATAATAATACATAGACTGTACACACAGATTCCTTCTAATTTAAATTAACTTACGTAGTCATTTTATTTTGGTATAATTTGTTCAGAATAATTATAATAGGATTATGTTATAATCTATGTCACCTTTAGCCTTGATTAGGTAAATGTAATGACTCAAATCTCAAGAATTTAACAAGAATAAAAATTGCTAGTGACGAATCGGATTGTTCGAAGGCAAAAAATACGTCGTTACATCCGCCATAATTAAAAATTGAGAGGTTTTTAAACCGATTTAATTTAATAATAATATATAGGATCTAAGAGTAATCGAACCAATGCTAACAAGTTCCATATTTAAAATGCTTGTATCCGAAAAGCATATTTTCAAACGCCATGATTTGTTTCCATGCGACAAAGATGAATATCAAACTCTTATAGCACCACGAATAGAAATAATTAAATGAGCTTTAATTGTATCGATAATATTAGGCCAGAGACCGTTGCGTCAGAACACTTGGCGTCGTGCTATCGATCTATGAGCTCACGTCATACAGGAATTTGCTTTTGCACAGCCTACCTAATAAGTAAACAAACTTGTAGATTGCGTGCCTATTATTTAACGATACGAATAGTAGGCGTACACGTCGAAGTGTAAATTAGCTAATTGGTTGTAACTTCATCCATAACCGATTTACGAGGTATTAGAAGAAATACGACGGCGAAAGGCGACGAGAACGTAGAGAAACTCACTGCAACACCGTGTGGACGTTCGTCAACGAGATGGACTGATCAAGTCAAAGACTCGTCCTCAAAATTATGCACCGTTGTAAAAGAAGCCCAAGACCGAAATCAG